GAAGAAGCACTGTAGCAGTGCGTTTCCACTGCTTGTATTACATCTGGGAGGCATGGCACCTTCCTGTGTCTCCAGCTCTTCATCTGTGAAATAGTGAGAACCGTCCCTGAAGTTTAGGATTTGGGAAGATTCGTTGAAGGACACTGAACAGTGCTTAGAAAAATGTTAGGCTCCTGGTGCACACCCAGTAAAGTGGACTATTACGAAGATTGTATGTCAAGTCAGGAAAAACTTGATGCCAAAATATTAATAGTAGTTATCTCCAGGAAACAAAATTTGGTGGGTTTTTTTGTTTTTTTGTTTTTTTGTTTTTTGTTTTTTTGGTTTTTTGTTTTGATAGAGTTTTGCTCTTGTTGCCCAGACGGGAGTGCAATGGCATTATCTCAGCTTGCTGCAACCTCCGCCTCCTGGGTTCAAGCGATTCTCTGGCCTCAGCTTCCTGAGTAGCTGGGATTACAGGCATGCACCACCACATCGAGGTAATTTTGTACTTTTAGCAGAGACAGGGTTTTCTCATGTTGTTCAGGCTGGTCTCAAACTCCTAACCTCAGGTGATCTGCCCACCTCAGCCTCCCAAATTGCTGGGATTACACACTTGAGCCACTGCACCCAACCGTGTGATTTTTATAATTGTTTTGTGCTTATTTGAATTTCTTAAACATATCTTATTATTTAATAAAAAATAAGTAAAAATGTTAAAACAATAAATACAGGTCTCTGTCCACAACAGGTTGCTACTGGAAGCTGTTCAAATGGAGCCCGTCATCCCTTGAGTAAACCTCTGATCCTTACGACTGTGCCTTGCACTGTTGAGCTCACTGTCTCCTTTGCGGGGACGACCATTTTCAGGATGAGCGGCTTTGTGCTGAAAAGTTAAGAATTGGGTCTGCACTGTCATCAGAACAGCAGTGGAAATTGAAACCCCGATTTCTTGCCAAAAGCTCAAATGGAAGAAATCACTTGTTTCTGGTTGGTTGACATTGTCATGTCCATTAAACAACCTTCACAGGAACTAGATACTTCCAGAATAACAGATTTTTCTTTTTTCTTTTCTTTTTTTTTCTTTTTTTTTTTTGCAGCTGGTCAAGTGCTGTTAATAAAAGTCAGGAAAAGGAAACATAACTAGGGCAAAGAAACCACAATTCCACATGCACCTGCTTTATTCAAATGCGGATTTCTCTTTCCTCCCTCTCTTCTTCGTCCTGTCTGTCTCTCTCTATCTCTTTCTCCATCTCTCACCGCCTCCTCTCTCTTTTCCCCCTCTCTGTCCTTGTCTGTCTCCTGTCTCTCTCTCTCCCCCTCTCTCTTCTTACCCCTCTCTGTCTCTTGTCCCTGTCTCTCTGTCTCTCTGTGTCTCTCCGTATCTCTCTCTCTCACACACACACAAACACACACAACACACACACACACACACACACACAGCATTCGTAGCTTGCTGTACCATGGGGGAGAAATGATGATCAAAGACTAAAAACTCTGATAGAAACAGAGAAGCAGAATGCCTTTCTCATTAATGCTCTAAAGCAAAAAGGAGAGAAGTTGTGTTGATTTTTCTCACAGAGCCACTTCTGAAGTCAGTATGCCCACCATGCTTTCTCTTGAAAATGCTATCATTTTTATTACAGGGTAGATAATAAAGTTTTGTTTTCCCTGGTGCTAGGAACTAGAAAAATAGTCTGAGCAAACACTATGATCAAAGAAAAAAACAGATTTTGCTTTACATGTATTGTAAGACCCTTATGTTAGAAACATCTGGAGAAATCTTATGAGAGATGTCTACAACTTTTTCTGTAATACTGCTCTCCTCCTCGGTAATTATTTCTACATTATCCCATAATAACACATTGCCTTTGTACCCTTTTATGTTACCTACTTGAGAGAATCATAAAAGACTCCATCAAAAGAACTAATTAACTATGATATTGTTTATAGTTTTTTCTCGTTTTACAAATGGGTAAACTGAAGCCATGAGTGTGTAAAGTAATGGGTCCCAAAAGAGATGTCAGAATATCTTACCTTGTGAAACAGGTGTATTCCAGAACAACCAGATATATGTGAATTTCAGCTCAGCAAATCCCCTTGTAACACTGACTCCCATTAAAACACCAGAAATGGGCCAGGCACAGTGACTCACACCTGTAATCCCAGCACTTTGAGAGGCTGAGGCAGGTGGATCACTTGAGGACAGGACTTCGAGACCAGCCTGGCCAACATGGTAAAACTCCATCTCTACTAAAAATACAAAAAATTAGCTGTGCATGGTGGCATGTGCCTGTGATCCCAGCTACTTGGGAGGCTGAGGCAGGAGAATCGCTTGAACCCAGGAGGGGGAGGTTGCAGAGAGCCGAGATAAAGCCATTGCACTCCAGCCTGCGTGAGAAAGCGAGACAACATCTCAAAAAGAAATACATTCTTATAGGAATAAAATCTTGTAACAGTGCACATTTAAAGATTTGATGAAACTCAACAAACATTGATTGACTGCCTTTACCCAGGCATGTCACTGTCCCAGGCAAGCAGAGGTTATAGGTGCAAATGACTTGGCTGTCCAGGAGGTCCCTATCCAGTTGAGGGGAAGGGCTGACTGCTCCATGGTTATAATGCACAATGGGATCAGGACAGGAGACAGGGCCAAAGAGCCTCAGGGTTAGGGAAGATGGAGAATAGTCCCAGATGAGGCGATTGGGGGGCCTTCATCAATGCAGTCATCTGCCCAGGCGCGGTGGTTCACCCGTATAATCCCAGCACTTTGGGAGGCCAAGGAAGGCAGGCAGATCACTTGAGGCCAGGAGTTCAAGACCAACCTGGCCAATATAGCGAAATCTCATCTCTACTAAAAATACAAAAA